CTCTTCAGATAAGATAGTCTAATGACTAAGATTATCACAGATTGATTAATTGTGAGACTGAGCATGTGCAGAGTAAATTCGGTAGTTGAAAGGCAGCGGTACACTGTGATCATTAAGTGATTAACAAAGGATTAAATGACAATGAATGATAAACTTTATAATGGTCGTAAATTGCACTAGAGTTTGGTTAGGTGATAGGCCTATGATACAAAGTTTTTTAAGAGATATTTGTTAGCATGTCTACAAGCTGTGATAAGTTCGTTTCTCCTGTTTAAGGTAGCCATGGGGGACTTGCATATTATAAAGTACTTTTCCCATAAGCACAAGTTGCATCTTTTAGATGATGGGTTTAATGCCTTGGCTTGCTTGAGAATTTTCCATTTAATAGTGTAGTCTATGTTATTGTCTTTTAATTCCCATATATATTTGCTTAACTCGGTGTTGCATTTCTTTGTTGGGTTTCTGAATGAAGCAGTGTGATTGTTGTACCGGGTTTTAAACGCGTTTTCTGTGAGTCCTACAGAAACTTCTACCCGTCTATCTCCATCGATCTGCTAAACGATGCATTAAACTTCGCATCGGGATATGACAAAATAACTGCCGAAGAACGACAAATAATACTTCACACAAAGAAATCATGTTTGTATCACTCAGGGGAACCGTGGGTCAAGAAAGCATCATCCAATCTATTCGACGTCACAATGGGCAGTTACGATGGGGCTGAAACATGCGAGTTAGATGGATCTTTCCTTCTAAATCAGATTACGGGAAAACACGGCAATACTTTCGGCTTATCCCGAGACGATGGCCTCGGAATCATAAATGCAACGCCTCGTCAAATAGAGAATACAAAGAAAGATCTATGTGCCATCTTCAACAAACACGGTCTAAAAATCACAATCGAAGCCAACAAAAAAATTGTGAACTTTCTGGACATAACGCTAAACCTGGAGAGTGGAAAATACATGCCCTACACGAAACTGAATAATACACCTCTATACGTACATAACAAATCAAACCACCCACCCGGAATCCTCAAAAACATCCCAGAGAGCATCAACAAACGCCTATCTGAAATATCATTCGATGAAGAGTCATTCAATAAAGCAGCACCACTATACCAACAGACCCTCCGACAAAAGTGGATACAGTCATCAGCTAAAGTTCTCCACAGCGCAACAAACAAAGGACGCCGCCAACACCAGGAAACATCGTACCAGAAACATAATTTGGTATAACCCGCCATTTAGCAAGAATGTCGCTACCAACATCGGTAAAACGTTTCTAAAAACGCTAGATGATGAATTCCCACCAAATCATACATTGCACAAAATATTCAACCGCAATACCATAAAAATTAGCTACAGTTGTATGGGGAACCTCAAACAAAACATCGACGGACACAATAAAACAACTTTATCACTGAAAACCGAGAAGCCTATGACCAAAAGTTGCAACTGCAGAATACCTAATGATTGCCCCATGTCTGGCCGTTGCCTAAATAAAAGTGTTGTCTACCAAGCCACAGTCGCAGCTAACAACAAAACAGACCAGACTTATGTAGGACTCACAGAAAACGCGTTTAGAACCCGGTACAACAATCACACTGCTTCATTCAGAAACCCAACAAAGAAATGCAACACCGAGTTAAGCA